ATCATTCCTGATGATCGCCTCCGCGACTTGTTCCATGAAGGCTCAAAGTATCGTCTTAATGGACAAATTGCTGATGTGCTTCAGGCTGTTAGAGTCGGCCTTGACGAGTATATTGCTAAATACTCGAGGTCGGTCTCCGAGCAGCTTCGGCCGGCCACTCTGAACAAATTGCAGCAGTGGTGCTCAGCCGTTCTCACACGTTGCCAAAGCAACATCTCATCCCCCCACACTACCACACGACAACCGCACTCCCTTCACTCGGTGCACAGGGCTTTGAGACACCTTCAACAACACTTTGCTATTATTCCTGTCGACAAGACCTCACATAACTTGGCAATCTGTTGTAAAAATTGGTACTTGTCTCATCTATCTGCTCATTTGGTCAGCCCTACCTATGATGTGCCTCTTGAGTCTGTCGCAGATATCTTGGAACATCACGCGCTCTGGAATCATCTGTGAGGATATGCACACAAAGACACGCTGCCATATCTGTACTATGCACTTAAAGCGCACAAATCGCCCTTGCAATGGTGGCCATGTTTTCTGAGAGGCTGGGGCTGTGTACTGGCGGTTTAGGAAGGCTGGTTACCTCATTCATACTGACAAAAGGTGCTAATTTTTGCTTGAAAATTTCTAAAGCGGTGGAATGAGGGCTCCTCGGAGGGTTTGAACATGCCCTTGCAATGGTGGCCATGTTTTCTGAGACTCTGAACTTGTGAGCTGCCTATCTTGTGTTGTCTTGCAGACAAAAAGCTGCCAACACTTCCTTGGAAAGCGCGTTGTGACATTGCCATTGCTGCGGCCATGGGCATGGACTACATGCATCACCTATGCTCTCCTCAAAGTAAGTCCCACAACTAAAGCCAGTGCTATACACATTAGCTGTTAGTGCATCTAAGGGACAGGCCCCACTGGTGCTATGTTCATGATTGGACAACATGAGCCTAGTCGTAATAGTCGTCAGGTTCGTGCTTTCCTAGCATAGACATAACACCAGTTGGATCTTCCCTAAGCTTTGCATTGGCAGATGTATGATGTTGACTCTTGTTCGACTTAGTTCATCTTTCAACTTTCGATCCAGGTAGCAGGGGTGGATTTCGGGCAGGCCATGGGCTGTTTGGGTCGAGATTCAGATGTCTTTGTTGGACAATCAGCTGGACACCTGTCTGTCGGGGATAAATTCAATTGGCTGGACCCATGCAGTTTCTGAGTGTGTTTACTTGCGGCGCATATGTAAGGTGCACCGCACGGTCCGGTGCGCTGATCGATGATGTGCACCCAAAAAAAAAAAAAAAGCGGCCGTTTGTGTGTATACACGCGCACGCAAGAGAGAGAGGGGGAGAGAGAGAGAGAGAGAGAGAGAGAGAGAGAGAGAGAGAGAGAGAGAGAGAGAGAGAGAGAGAGAGAGAGAGAGAGAGAG